AAGTCATGCTTTGATTTATTTAACGCACGATAATTGACTCGGTTGTGTTTTACAAACACATTTTTTGGAAACCCAAGCTTCTTAATTAAGCCACAGAAAGGAAATTTTTGTCGTCGATTTTCATTGACAAAATCATTTGTAAGAACTAATACTCATGTGAGTGCTATAACTTTTCATTTGACGTTTTACCGTACGGATAGCTCGGTAACAAGCGGCAAGATAATTTCATTTTTACGTACACATATTGGCATCATTTGAAACTAACGAATAATACTAATAATAAAAAAGTTTTGATGGTGTTATCATGATTTTGGTTAAAACAATTTTGTCACACTGTGTCGCTGAAAGTTTATCTCAGTACCCAAGCAATGATTGTAACTAAAGTAAATTCTATGTGAATTTCTGAAAGAAAACTAAAGCAAATCAGTGTACACTCCATCACCTGCTGCATATAGCCCTGTGTCAAAGAAAAATAATTATATATCACTCAATAATGATGATGTTCATAATAATAGTAATAACAATATTAATAATAATAATAGATAATAATAATCCATCATCAGACAACAACAGCCCATAAATGAACTGACTACTCAAGAGAAACAGAACCAGTTAGTTCAAAACAATAATGATAAAAATTAGGTTCTGCCATCAGATAACAAGAGCCCATAAATGAAGTGACTACCCAAGAGAAACAGAACCAGTTAGTACAAAATGAAAATGATGAAAATTAGGTTCTGCCATCAGATAACAANNNNGTTTTGATGGTGTTATCATGATTTTGGTTAAAACAATTTTGTCACACTGTGTCGCTGAAAGTTTATCTCAGTACCCAAGCAATGATTGTAACTAAAGTAAATTCTATGTGAATTTCTGAAAGAAAACTAAAGCAAATCAGTGTACACTCCATCACCTGCTGCATATAGCCCTGTGTCAAAGAAAAATAATTATATATCACTCAATAATGATGATGTTCATAATAATAGTAATAACAATATTAATAATAATAATAGATAATAATAATCCATCATCAGACAACAACAGCCCATAAATGAACTGACTACTCAAGAGAAACAGAACCAGTTAGTTCAAAACAATAATGATAAAAATTAGGTTCTGCCATCAGATAACAAGAGCCCATAAATGAAGTGACTACCCAAGAGAAACAGAACCAGTTAGTACAAAATGAAAATGATGAAAATTAGGTTCTGCCATCAGATAACAAGAGCCCATAAATGAACTGACTACCCAAGAGAAACAGAACCAGTTAGTACAAAATGAAAATGATGAATATTAGGTTCTGCCATCAGATAACAACGGCCCATAAATGAAGTGACTACCCAAGAGAAACAGAACCAGTTAGTACAAAATGAAAATGATGAAAATTAGGTTCTGCTATCAGATAACAACAGCCATAAATGAAGTGACTACCCAAGAGAAACAGGACCAGTTAGTACAAAATAATAATGATAAGAATTAGCTTTTGCCATCAGATAACAAAAGCCCATATATAAACTGACTACTTAAGCGAAACAGAATAATAAAGCTAAATGTTTTTTTTTTAATTGAAGTGACTTAGAAAACAGAAATACCTCACTGTATTGGGAATGATTTGACTAAAAACAAACTTACCTCAAGTCTAATATCACTAATATGTAACTTAAGTCCATTTTAGTCTGACCTCTACCTTAAAGAAAAGCAGAATTTACAAGGCCAACCGGTGGAATGCTTTTCTGGCGAAGAAGACCAGTGTTCAAACGAACATGGAGGTGACATACACAGTAGCTGGCATCCTGTTGAATTCCACTACGGCACAGGCCGATTTGGCGGGTTCAAGTTCCCGCGTTGCCACGTCGTCGTTAAACGTCGTCAGGAAATCTTCTAAATATTTCACTGGAGAAACCCGTCGGACGGACTCCACATATTTCTTTTTGGAGTGCATACCAATGTTTTTGTGGGTTGTAACCTTCGACAGACTCGAAATGGCAAACGAAGACTCGATCATACTGTCGAGGGTCGCCTTCACTTCAAATTGTTTCGAAATCAAAACCACAGCGCTTTTGAACTTTGAAAGTCCCACCAAGGTAGAATATTAATTAATTAGTAATAATTTAACTCTGTTACATCGCATGATCCCTGCCTGACCCTCAAAAGCAAAAACAAAAATCGTACATGATCGCTGCCGTCCATTCATTTGAGCGGCACTGGAAGCAAGTTTTGTGGTGCTTTGTCACACACGTCACGTCATGTCACACGAGGAATTTTCTGACTTTGGCACTCGAGTATTTATTAAATATTTCCGCATGAAATATGGGTCGCTCCTTCAAAAATTTTATCAAAGTGACAAAGAAAATATAAAACGCTTTAACGTAATGTCTTTTAAGCCTGGCGTGCCCCATCCAAATCACCAGCAGTCCGATCTGGATTTCTCTATGTTTTACAGACCAACAGTAAGTCTAAATTAATGTAAATCACTTTCTACGGGTAGATGAAGCGAGCTTTTATTTTTAAGATACATTTCGAATGATCAAAATCTTTTTAATTTTAAACAAAAAGGTCACGTCGCAAAAAAAACGGTTGCGTGGGAGGCTGGCTCCTCGCCTTAATTGCCTCGAGCTCAAATGACGCGTCTCTCGCGGATACTTGGCGTCTGGTTTACTTATTATGCTCCAGTCTTAATTAATTTTATGACACCAAGCAAATACCTTTCTATTGCGTACCAGGGCATCAATTTACGGCGCCTGCTGAGTTTTTTTTTCTCGAGCAAAGCTCCTCGTGAATGCGCCAATGGCAAAGCTTTTTATATCACGCACTGGCCAGTGCCCAGTTTTTCCGATAATAATCTAACAACCCCTGGTTATAAGATTTGAGACGTTTTCTCGCTGCAGTGATGAAGTTTCAAGTTGAATTTGCAAGTTTATGGCAAAAACAGCCCCATTAGCCAAAAGAAGTCTCAAATATGTTGAACTGACATGTATTTGGTAAGATTTCTACCGAATTTTACGGATTTACCTGAATTTCATGGCTCTGCGACCTCATGAAATTTCTGAAGCACTGCCCAGCAGTGGTTTTTCATTTTCCAGGAGTTGCGAGTTAAAAACTTATTGCTTTGTCCTCTATAAAGTCGTAACTGCAAATTCAGGAGAGTGTGTGTAGTGTTGGAAAGTATTTTTAATAGTCCGAATGTATTTTACTGTAAAGTGCAATCAGATAATCCTAGGTGAAAGACATTTGTCCGGCCAAAAACGGGTTGTTTCCGAGCAAAAATAGGTTTGACCGGACAACTTGACTGGCCAGCCGGGAAATTATTTCAAGCCCTGCCTGGAGTGAAGCAAGTCAAGTAAGGGGCTGGGGAAGTGGGAAGAGGGGCGGAGTCTTGAGGCATGTCTGTGATGCAGCCGAATGAGACAATTCTGGTATCATGCTTTGATTGGTCAATTGTCTTAACATGAACAGATGTACAGTATTGTTGTCAGATTTCTCTTCACTTGGTTGTTGTCAGCGGTGATAGTTCCAAATATTTCACTTTTCCAAAGGTCTCACTGGTTGGTGATCTGAGGGTAGCAGAACATTTTGTCTTTGAATAAAGACTTTCTTTCTAAAAAGAGACACCAGCCTATAAAGTGATGCTTTAGCTTGGTCCATTTTTAGTGGCCCATTATTGCATCAGCTTGCAAGTTTAATTAAGACAGGAGCCATAGTTCAACAACTTGTTTGACACAAGAAAGGCACTAGATACACTCTATCTTTTATTATTTGCTAGCCCAAGTCATTTATAGATTGTAGCTTATCATGGCCTTTCCATATCCATATTAGAAGTGTTAATTTTGATATGAATAATTTCTTATAAAAGGAAAAAAAGAGTGTATCTTTGAATAATGTCCACGCAGTAATTAATCGCTATTCATGTCTTTCACATTCTTCCAATGATATACCCTTCTGGCCCCAGTTGTTCAAACATTGGATAGCGGTAGCCCCCCTCAAAAAAAATTATGGAGATCGAGGAGGGTGTTATCTGTCGAGGCCGTAGGCCGAGGTGGATAACACCCTCCGAGATCTCCATAATTCTTCATATGAAATAAAAGCCGAATTCAATAATTGTTTTATTATTCATTCAAAATAATTCCTAGTTTAAAAACATGGCAAAAACATGCTTGCCTCCATCAATCTATTGATGTTAAGTTCATCTTGGATAGTGCATGTTTATCGTTGTTCAGTTCCGCAAATATTCTCCAAATAGCAGATGTCACCCTTTGAGTTGTCTCCTTACTGTTCTTGCCATGTTTTTAGCTATTATTTCGCCTTTTTCTTACTCTTGAAACGAGTGAAATGTCCGCCATTTTTGTTTTCACAACCAAAACAACTCAACCTCGTCCCCAGGTCTTCTCGGTTAATGGTGCATTAACCTGCAAGAAAGCTGCACTTTTTACGTCATCTGTTCATTAAACGCAAAATTCTTCCAAACTTGGTCATCAGTAGCTGGTTATGGTGAATTTAATGCGTGTGCTTTCAGCCAATCAGACTCGAGGAAATATTTTGGATGAATAATAATTGATTTTATGTATACCATTAACTGACACCATAATGTGGGTTGAGTTTGTTGTTGGTTCTCTCCTTTGCTCTGAGAGGTTTTTTTCTGGATACTTCAGTTTTAAATTCCCAACACTTCTTTAAATTATTGTAATTCAACATGGAATGTATGAGCACCTGCAAAGTGTTCATGAGTAAACAGATAACATTTACATTTACAGTCATACCCCATTATTAAGGACACTGAGGGGTTCATAGAAATTATTTGATCTGTGTTAATATGGTGTCTGTTATATTTATAGCAGTTAATTTTAAATTTTGAAAAAATGTTAGAGCCAGGGACAAGGAAATTTTCTGCAATAACAAGGTGTTCATATCAAGGGGGTGTCCGTAAACCAAGGCTTGACTGTAATTATTACATTAATTTATTATTATAGTCCTTATTTACAATTAGTTACTGTTTTTTTCTTGTACTAGGATCCAAGAAAATAAAGTCTTCACAGGATTCAACAAACACATCAGAGGATAATGATGATAAAACACCTAAGCTTACCACTGGTCTCCGATCTTCTTCAAAGAATGTTTCAAACAATTCAAAGAACAAAAGAACCACAGTAAAAAGAAAGAATAACAAGAAAGGAAAGAAAGAAAGAACAGCAACAAGGAACATTGAGGACCCTCCTGAGCTTAATAAAGTTCCTCCATCCTTTGCTGATATTAAGGCAATGACCAAACCATCAAAAGATGCTGGTCTTCCTGTTGATGTTCTGTTACTTACAGTTACAAACTGTGAGTTCTTAGCTTGTTACAGTGAGCTAAAAAATCCCTATAGATGTTGGTTTGATAGTCTTGGCTATGTTTACTTTTCTGATGTGGGTGAAAGTCAAGAGGAGCTGAAAGTTGCTTTATTAAGATGTTACAGAAATGGTATTGGTCCTGGTGGTGCTCTTGTATCTGTAAAGAATGCTGCCTCTGTGCTAAGACCCAAAGCAGTTATTTCCGTAGGCACATGTAGTGGCCTGAACCCTGTAAAATCCAGGTTAGGAGATGTTGTTGTGTCTGCCAAATTAGCAACATATGCATCAAAGGTAGTGACCAGCAATCAAGAGCAGTCAACTGGCATAAGAAGTTATGTGAGCAAACGCTTTCTGAATGTCATTAAGAATTGTACTGATGGGTGGCAAGCACCTTTGAAGAACCCTGAAGCACAGCAAGTTCAAGTTTATACTGATGCTGAGTTTCTGAGTGGTCCGGAACAAGTCAGAGCTGAGTGGCGGCGGGATCAACTTGCTGAAACCAATCCTCAGGCAATGGCAATAGAAAATGAAGGAGAAGGTGAGTTCACTTTGTATGCAGCTAGCTTTAGCAAGTATATATAGTCAGGACTCTTTTAAACTTTGTAGCTATGTATGTAGCTTTTGATTCAGTGTTTATTTTAAGGCATTGTTCTGACTGTTTGCTTGTTTGATTTTAATAATAATATTTACTGCAAAGATGTTCCTGCTCCCAATGTATAGGTCTTCATTGTTAGTTGTTAGAGCTTTTTCGTCATGCTAATGCAGAGGCCATGGGTTCAAATTCCCTCTTATCCCTCCCTAGCTGCCTTTTTTTTTTTTCAGGTTAATTTGCATTTGTTTAGATTGCTGTTATAATGACAGTGATAATATCTCCAAATTAAACCGATTGACAAAACATACATGTAGGTGTGCGGAAGGTGTCCGGTGAAACAGAAGGGAACCCCAAGCAAATCTAGAAGGTAACCATGACAACCCTGTGAGTGGCACCTTTCAGGCACCATCACACTGAGACCTTCAGTGAAGAAATGCTCCTATACTTACCAAAAAACATCCAAAGGGAAGGGAGGGCTGCAGGGAGCAAAAACTGAGCTAAAGCTACTGCATGCGAAAGCAACATGAGCAAAATGATTGACTTCAGGGAAAGTACTGTAAAATATGCGAAAGCCCAAGACTGCCCCATATGTAATTAGTCATGGAGACTGCTGGCCAGCATTGTCTCGTGTTTAGCCTCGCCTAAATTACATTTAGCCACATTTAAACCCATTGACAATAGGTGGGTGTGGGGAGGACGCATGGTGAAATGGAAGGGAGCCATAAGTGAGCCTTGGAGGTATCAGTGTATTCATGACAACCCCGGGAGTGGTGCCCACCCAAACCAGACTACAGATGCTTGAAGAAAAAACAGGGAACGCGAACAGTGGAGTCACAGGACCTGGTTTCCCCAAGGGCATTAAGCACCAACCCCAAACTTGCTCACAATAAAAGCTGAAGAAAAGCCTTTCACCACTGAAGATGAATAGAGGTCCTAATACCTGCCTGAAGCATGTCCCCCAGAGCAATTAAGGTGCAAGCTGTCCATAACCGCAATCCAAACGAAAACAACTGGGAAGGAGGCTGTAAATATTTCCACAGTTCACACCTTCCTCGTTTTCCATCCATCTTCCAACTCCAGTTAGCTTTTAAATATTTTGCATTTTTATGGAAAGTTTGACTTGCAAAATAATGTAAACTACTGTATATTGATGTAGGACTGTCTTCAACTCAAGTGCCATTTTCTTTGTTGTTCTATAGGAGTGTTTACAGCAGCATTTGACTGTCAAATTGAGTGGTTAATTGTGAAAGGGATAGCTGATTACGCAGATGGTTCTCAGTTGCCTTCAGAGAGTTGGTCTTCCTGCGCCAGTGTGATGGCAGCATCTCTTGTTGCACACATTTTGAGTGAGCCCTGTGTTTTTCATTCATGGCCTCATTACCAAGGTAAATATTTCTCATAATGTTATGCTTTTTTTGGCGTGTTGTTTTACAGAAACTAGTGGTATATTAGAATGTACCTCCTTGATGCCATAGTAAGCTCTATGGCATTAAGCTCCCTTGTCATTTTAAACCAAAAAGAGGTTGAAGTACAGTCATGTAACTGAACAAAAAAGTTGTGGATTTTGTGTGAAATAGGGTTTAGATTAGAAGAACCTTAGGTTTAACAACTGCCACCAAGTGTTCTTAGCTGCTGAGTCTGTTTTTTCCAACAGTCGTATTGAGCTGACCACATAGCTATATTTATTGTTTAAAGTGTTAAAACTGCACTAGTCTTGGTATTATGCAGTTTTAGTGATGTCATTAGTAGCAGTTATTTCTAGTAGATTTCTTGAATGTAAGTGAGAGTAACTGAACAAAAAAAGTTGTGGATTTTGTTGTGAAATAAGGTATAGGTTAGAAGAACTTTTTTAGGTTTAACAACCACCACCAAGTGTTCTCTGATGAGTCTGTGTTTTTTTTGTTTGTTTTTGTTTTTTGTTTTTTTTTTCAGCAGTCGTATTGAGCTGACCACGTAGCTATATTTCTTTTTTTAAGGGTGCTTTCGATTGGGAAATCTGGATTTAGATCTTAAAATCCGGATTTTGGATTTGAGATATCTTTTTTTGGATTTCCTTTGTACCGTTCGACTGGGAAATCCGAAAAAGGATTTGACAAACTGTCCTTAAGAAAAGTAGTCTTGCACGTGCATGCATAATTAGCAAAAAGAAGACCGCTCTTCACGAGAATAGTTTTGCAAATCTTTTTTCGGATTTCCCAATCAAACAGTAAAAAGGAAACCCATGAAATCCAGATTCACCCTGAGGACGGATTTCTCAGAGATGAAATCCGTTTTCGGATTTCGCGTTTGATTGCAAGCTCCGAAGTCCGGATTTCAGAATCTAAATCCGGATTTCCCAATCAAACGCACCCTAAGTGTTAAAACTACACTTGTCTTGATATGCACTTCTAGTGAAATTATAAGTAGCAGTTATTTCTAGTATATTTCTTGAAAGTAAGTGAGAGATCTCTTTTTGTTGAAGATATATCAGAGCAGACCTCAGCGAGCAGATCAAAGGAACAGTTACCAAGTCCTTCAGGTACCAATTTATGGCTCCAGTCCACACGAATCCAAATATTTTTTGAAACCACATATTTTTTTACATGAATAGGCCACAGATGACTGAGCAGATTCACTGGTTTAGTGTTTAGGGAAGGCCGTGTTGTGATAAAGAAAATGTTCAGTTTCAGAAATATCCAGATTCGTGTGGATGGGGCCTTAATGTTTAATGCTACATTGCACATGTACAATCCAACATGTTACGAGTTTAAGATACATTTTCCGTTCATTTTCGCTTCCTCTTGTTGTTTTTCTCTTGTTTTCTTATTTCTTTCTCTTTTTTCTCTTGTTGTTGGTTATAATTTTTTTGTTTGTTTTTTCTTGCCAAATGTTTTTGGAACTGTCATATCAGGGGTGTCGTGTACATTAGCTAATAATTGGGCAAAATTATTTTGTACTGGGTGGGGGGGCACTTATTTGGAGACGGGTGCTATTCGAACGTTTGCAGTACATGTGTTTCGTTTAATTAAAAAAAAGACCCTCTTCCCTCTCCGCTATTAAGTTCTCTTGTCTAATTAGCTGCTATTTGCGCTCTGTTCCTTAGCTTATTTGTTAAATATTATTAGTAAGGTTTTCCCACCCTTAGCCTGACCAACGGATTACAGCACAAAACAACAACAGCAACAACTACACTGAAAAACACAGCTTCTGTTGAAACCATGTGTAACGTCATTGAACGTGTTAAAATAATCACGACATTTTAATTTTTTAATACTAAATAAGAAGGGGAGGCCAGTATAATGTAAACTAACTGTAGTATAAAAGTTTTGAAATCTATAACTATCTCAAAAATTGATCAACAAGTCAGTCTCGCGACAGAAGGTTGTTTAAAAAACCGGTGGTATAAGACTTGGTAATAAGCTTAACGCATAAAGAATCTTGCTCCAGTGTTAACCTGAGATCAGGCTCTATTTTTATTTCACGCTTAGATGTACATGGCCACAATAGAAAAACTACCATTATAAGTACCACCACAAAACTTGTACCATTAACTTTCTACTACTCAATGCGTTCGAGAGGATTTAAAAGAGATTTACTTTTTTATATAAACAGATGCTGCAACTGCTTTTTTGGAGTGGAATCAAAATCAGCTTTGCTCATTTTACAACAGTACCGCGAGCCAGTTAATGATTACTCCTTGGGACCGGGGTAATACCATGGACATTGATGAGGTGTATGTACAGTTAACACTGCTAAGAGATGACAGAAAACTTGCTGGAACAACACAAGAAGAGCTTCAAGATTACAGTGAGCTATTCGCAAGCCATGGTCATCATCTAATGCCTAAGAGAATTTTAGTGTATGGGAGGCCAGGAATAGGAAAGTCGACATTGACAAAGAAACTCGCCGTTGACTGGTCACGAGGTAATAAAGAAATCCTAAAGAAGTTTGCTGTTGTACTTTTGATCAAGCTCCGTGATGTTTGCAACACGCAAGACTTCCGTGCCATGCTACAAAAGGCGGAGCTTTTGTCCTCAGGTGATGCTATGGTATTTAGTCAGTTGTATGATTACATTCTTCGTAACCAACAGAAAGTCCTACTTATTTTAGACGGTTATGATGAATATAGCGCCGAAACGTTATCGCCAGTCCATCAGATTTGGAAAGGCAGTCAACTGAGAGATTGCACTCTTCTTGTGACGACCCGACCTCGGAAAAAAGATGAGTTAAGACCAGGAAGTCATGCTCAGTTTGAAATTAATGGGTTTGATCGGTGGCACGTTTTGACATTTGCTCTAAAGTTTCTTCGCGACCAAAGAGAACTATTAAAGTTTAGAGATTTCTTGAATGGACGCGACCTGTGGGACTTGGCGGAAATACCTCTTCTACTGTTAATGTTGGTTCTAAGCTGGAAGGTTTCTGATTATCAAGGACCATCAACATCTCGCGCAAATCTGTATGACAGTTTTTGTCAGACGCTGCTTGATCACGTGACCGCAAAAGCCTCAGATGAGACATTTAGAAGCATGGATGAATACAGAGAAGACCTCGCAAAGTTAGGGGAACTTGCCTGGCAGGCACTTTTAAATGACTGTCTTTATTTCAAGCTCAGCAATGTGCCTAAGGACATTCGGTTATTCCTCGACAAGTTTATGGATTTTGNTGAATACAGAGAAGACCTCGCAAAGTTAGGGGAACTTGCCTGGCAGGCACTTTTAAATGACTGTCTTTATTTCAAGCTCAGCAATGTGCCTAAGGACATTCGGTTATTCCTCGACAAGTTTATGGTTTTTGGCTTTCTGCAGACTTCTAATCTTTCAAACTCTCCTCGTCCTGAGAAACTGGCGTTCTTTCTCCATAAATCGGTGCAAGAGTTCCTCGCCGCCTCGTTTTTAGTTCGTGGTGTAGAAAATGCCAACGAATTCTTCAACTGTCTGTCTAAAGTCGACTCATTTGAACAGTTCATGGAGCTATCTGACGTTTTCAAATTTGTTTCGGAGTTGTCATCAAAAGCTACCGTTGCTGTTTTTAGCCATCTGAAGATGATAGGAGAAAAAGAAGGTCTGACTGATCACAACTTTTGTGAAAACCCCTCTATTGAGGAGCTCACTGAAGAACAACGAAAGTTTTATCGTATTAGCCCCGGTCTTTTTTTTTCTTGCCCCGCTTCAGATAGGAAAAATGTCTATCCTTCATTTCTGCAATGCGTTAATGGTCTTTTATTGATAGACCATGAACAACTGCCTAAAGTTTCCAGCGAACATTGCCTGAGATCAACAAATTTCCATAAGCCGGATTATGTATTTTTTGATGTAGAGGATTACTACTTGAAAGAGTGGGATGATCAAATGTTTTCTGTCGCGTCCGATTTGGATACTGTTATTGTGACATGTTCTGGTGACGTAAAATCCGTCAATAGGTACGACCATTCATTGCGTCGTGACTATTTCTTAAAGAAAGTCGGACATCGATTTGTGTGCTATTTAACTCACCGTGAATACCTGCCCATTGGAGTGCTTACGTCATTAATATCAGCACCAGAGTCCTCTCTTCAAAAGCCTGAGCACAAGTTACAGAATCATGATGTTTGCAGCTCTTTGCATTTAACTGAGAAAACATCTGACCAGACTCTGAAGCACTCTTTGTCATATTTGAGAGCGATTGAATTTCAGGGTATTGATGAGGACCCAACAAGTGAACTTGGTGAACTTGTCATTTTACTGAATAATCTTCAGCATGTGCCTCGACTATCTGAGCTTGGGTTATGTGGTGTTGGTATGGGGAATCAAGAGTGTCAGTTACTTGCCACTGCTTTAAAGTATGTTGATAAGTTACGCTTACTGAGGTTATCAGGTAACCCACTCGGTCACGGGATAAGTGAGCTTGCCAAACACCTGCACAGTGTACCTCATCTGGAAGAGCTGCATCTGGCTGATACACAGATCGGTGAAGAGGAAGTCACAGCTTTAGCCCTTAGTTTAAAGAATGTGACTCAGCTGAGTGCACTTGACTTATCAAACAACCCACTCGGTCACGGAGTAAGTGAGCTTGCCAAACATCTGCACAGTGTGCCTCATCTGGAAGAGCTGTACCTGAATAATACACAGATGGGTGAAGAGGAAGTCACACCTTTAGCCCTTAGTTTAAAGCATGTGACTCATCTGAGTGCACTTGACTTATCAAACAACCCACTCGGTCACGGAGTAAGTGAGCTTGCGAAACATCTGCACAGTGTACCTCATCTGGAAGCGCTGCATCTGGCTGATACACAGATGGGTGAAGAGGAAGTTACAGCTTTAGCTCATGTACTCCTCTGTGTACCAAAATTGAGCGATCTTCGGCTTGACCAAAATCCACTGGGCCGCGGAGTGACTGAACTAATCAAGTGTCTCAGAAGTAGTCCTCAGGGTTTCAGTCTCAGTCTAACGGAGGTTCAACTGACAGAGAAAGAAGCGACTGAGCTGTGCACTTTAGAAAATGAAGGGGACATCAACTTCTTCACAGATTATAGAGTAAGTTTCTCTTTTGTTATTTGCATTATTAATGCTCCTAATACCCAGGAACGTCCTGGTAGACGAAAAGGAAGCGTTTTTTCAAAGGACCTGTGTCGCCATTCTTATCCATACCAAAAAAGACACACTGATTTTTGTAAAAGAAAACTTGTCGAATAGTGGTCCAGTCGTGACAACAATTGCCAATGTATTTTGTCTGTCTTTAGATGTCCCGCAGGGTGGAATAGATTAATACTCCATTAATAATAGTACTACGTCAGTGGACAAATATGGATTTCAAGATCAAACTCAAGTTCTGTTAAAAGATCACTATATCAGTCCACTAAAATTATAGTGATAAGTGTCTGTGTTGGCTTTAATAGATGACCAGGATGGAAGTGGATTACACTTTGAAAAGTTTTGACTTCTTTGTTTGATTTCTTTACCAATTCTTTTTTAAAAAAAGTAAATGCGGCTTCTTCTTGGTTATAGAATACTGAGGGATTAGCTCAGCGAAGTATCAACTTACGAAATGTCAAAATTTAAATAGCTATAAGACATTTCGTAACTTCCCGAAATCAACACTCTATTATTGTATTTTCGAAGGATTGTAAATTTAGCTTGGTAGCATTTACCCCACCTTCTGCAGACCGTTCAAAAAATTTTTATGAAAAAAGGGAGCAAAAAAAGTCGTGTGCAGCAATTTTGTGTTCCCCAAAAAAAACCCCCCCCCCCCCCCCCGGGGCCTCTTTTTTTTGGCCCCCCCCCCCCCCCCCCCCCCAATTTTCGCTCCCGGGCGGCCTTTTCTCCCCCCCCCCCCCCCCCCCCACACACACACACACACACACACACACCCACCCACCCTGGAATTTCCGTAATATTCCAACTTGGTTGGGTACCCCCTGGAAAGAATATTTTTGTCAAAAATGCTAATTGTCTCTGCGATAAAAAGAGAAAAAAACTTTTNTTCCGTAATATTCCAACTTGGTTGGGTACCCCCTGGAAAGAATATTTTTGTCAAAAATGCTAATTGTCTCTGCGATAAAAAGAGAAAAAAACTTTTATATTTATGTTAATACACCGTCAAACAATCTCAATTTTGTCTTGTAGAGGTCTTTCTTAATTAATTATTAACGGCAAGTCACTGAGAACCATGGAGGCGGTACCAAGACAATCGTGTTAACTAAACTATTGTACCAGCCGTGAAAACAGTGATGAAAACACCGATTAACAGTGAAATAACTGGTAGCTTGCTCATCAATCTTACTCGGAGCCCTCGGAAAAAAGACTCGAGAGGCCACCCCTCACCCCCTCGGAAATTGCCCCTTTTTGAACCCCCACCCCCTCCCGTCTGAATTTCCGTTGCCCTCCGTCCCAGCGGGGGTATGGATATTTTCTAGAACTACACAATTTTACTAGTATAGCGAGGCACACGTTTGCTTAAGTTTCAACCATGTGGTTTGTTTTGACTTAACTGGTGTTTTTTTAATACTCCATGGAAAGTCAGTAGAGCGCTTTACTGTAGAGTTGGAGGTCGCGGGTTTGATTACCGTGACCGTACTAATACTTAAAAACACTAAGCAGTGAAGGTACTGCCTTTACCCTGCGTTGCTCCAATGACGTAGAACTGTCGGTCCCGTCTCCAGTAGGAGACATAAAAACTGTGTCCTCAGTTAGTACAGTGGAACCTCGACATGACGAAGGGCCAAGGGACTGGCAAAATTATTTTGTTCGTTTTAACGAAGTTTCGTTATATCGAGGTTCTTTTTCATCTATTTTGCTATCACTGGGGTGAAGAAAATCGTTCGTCATACGAGGGACTTCGTTATATCGAGGTTCGTTATATCAAGGTTCCACTGTACTTCCATGCAAGATACATTCACACTTAAAGTTAACTAGGGTAATGAAATAAGGCGGACTGACGAAGCTTCTGATTCTTTCGTCGCATTCGCTGATTTGCGCAAAGAGCCTCTACTTTTTTTGACCAGTAGCGGGTTCTCAATTCTTCCGCGGGGTGCGAGAAGGTCAGGACAAAACGAGTAATTTCTCTGTTTACAAAGATTTCCTATTAGAAGGACGAATACACGTGTGCGTTTCGTTAAAGTAATGACGTTTTGGTTCACGCTGAGGTGGATAGGTCATTAGAGACATGTCATTGTAGTAGCAAAACAATCATGGCCACAATTTGCGCGATAACACGAACTAACTTTACGTTATGTTTAATCCGTTGTTTTTTTTTTCTTCATCATTAGTACGAGTGGTGGGATATTTTCGATTACAGGCCTAAGTATCGGCTACTTACAGAAGCAGAACTACAAGAAAAGGGAGTCACATTTGATGAAGAGTGAAAAAGGAAAACCTGCTCTCCACACCAAAGGCGTGAAGAGACCTGGACACTAAACGAACCACTACCAACTGCCAACAGTCATTTAGGTATTCCCGTATTTAAAGGTTCCCTTTGTATCCCTCCAATTTTGCATCCTGGCATTTTGGGTACCCCCTAATTTGCGCATCCCCACGTTTTGGTATCACCCTAATCTAAGTTTCTCGCATTTTGGTTGTCTCACTGATTTAAGATCGATCTATATAAAGCGTATGCACGAAGTACAACGACTGATATCGACTGATATCAAGAGGTTTCGACCGATCATTTATTGATAAAATCGTAGAGTGGTATCTTCTATTCCTTCCGAAAACTTGGACACAAAATCACGATTTTCCGATATGTTACAAAGGCTTAAAGCATCACTGTAAAGCGCAATCTATCTGATCTATCAAATAAGAGACAACCCTCGTAAACTTCAATCATTTCATAATGTCTCAGTGCAATTTTATTCTAGATCGCCTCTAAAACAGCCGAGATATAAGCGTTTTAAAAGATGTGGGACAAGTAAAATTTTGCCTTATGAATTTATTCATTACATACTGAGATAGGTGTCTGTTTATAAGGCCGCGGCCACTGACTTTGTTACAAAAGTTCTTGTTATTTGTTTTGTTGCGGTTTCTTTCAAAATAGCCCAACTGAACTGCAGTTTTTATTTTATAACGGTGGACTACCAGCACACTCATAGATCTTCAAAACAAAGTTAGACTGGAAGACGCGTGTTTTAAAAGGGAATAGGCAAAAACCACCAGCTTTCAAAACACTCCTCTTATACATGCAACATCAATGATTTTACGTGAGCATGCAGTCTTTTTGTATGCAAATTAATTGCATAATTACGGGCAACCTTTAAACAATAACACCCGGTCATTTTACTGGATTTCCCGTCCAAGGTACCAAAATTAATGCGAGCAGCTTGCGGGGCAGGCATGATTCAGGCGGGTACGTCTCTTGTGCTGAAGGATAGTACCTTCGAAACATCAACACAGATCCCAAGGAATGTTAGTATCCCGGTAGGGTACTAGGGGATACCCAGGGTACGCTGCGAGGGAGATCACCTCGAAAAAACAACCCAAATCACAAGGGACGTTAGTATTCCGGTAGGGTACTAGGGGATACCCAGGGTACGCTGCGAAAGATAGCACTTCGAAACAACAACCCAATTCACAAGGGACGTTAGTATCCCGGTAGGGTACTAGGGGATACCCAGGGAACGCTGTGAAGGATAGTACCTCGAAACAACAACCCAAATAACAAGGGATGTTAGTATCCCGGTAGGGTACTAGGGGATACCCAGGGTACGCTGCGACAACCCAATTCAGAAGGGACCCGTAACACTGACCTGAAATAATGGAAAAACTCACATCACGAGAGATTTAAATTTCGGAGGCACCCAAAACACAGGGATACCCCGCAAATTAGGTTGGAGTAGATCAAGAGTTTTTTGTACTACTTAGTGTAGACACTGCATGCGTAACTATCATGGGTAAAATCAGGGGTCCATCAACCTCACGAGTCCATCACTCATGTGAGGCCAGGGTCACAGCGTGTCAGATTTTCAGATTTTTCCATCCAATGAGAGCAGAGTAGAATTTCCAGCAATGGCGCAGCGCAGAAGATTTTTCATGACGAATTTTCAGTCGAAGAGAGAGTTTACTGTGTTCATTTCGTTGAAGAAACCTGAATAATAAGTAAGGACCAATGGGGCTTCGTCTAGGACATCACCTCCCGTTTTGGATTGTGTGGTCGTTTTTGAACAAAGTGAATTTTGCGGAAAAATAAATCTTAAAATAGGTGAAACGCCTAACGTACTGTTACGTTAATTACTGACCGGCCGGAGTTGGTGGGTGGGGGAGGGATGACTCCCATATAATACGGACAGGGATGCTCGTCGGGAAAGTAGCATTAAGGCCCTTTTTGAGATACAATTTTTTCACGCACAGCCTCAAGGAAGAGAGAATGAACTCATCGTGCCCTAGACGATACCTGTAAGGAAAAAAAATATTAACTTTGCGTCCTGGTCACCCTAAGTGAGACCAAAGTTCGCAATCCCTACACCTAAGCAAGAAGACGAGCTTCCCCGTCACTTTTATATGGGCTCCCCCGGTGATGCTGAGAAGAAATGGGCTCCTGGTATTACTTGATTTGTAACTCAACTTAGAAGCGCCATTAATTTTCTTATACAGCTCTTTACACTTCAACAGAAACGCAAAATAGATCATTAATTTTTAAGCTGTTTCATATTATGGTTCAAAACTCGATGACACATGGATTTTTAGCCTGTGTCTGATTCGTTTCCGTTTCCTTTAGGCCAAGCGGGGCAAGCACTGATGATTTGCGAGCGTATTGGGTAAAAAGGAACAAAAGATTCCAGGAGTAGGGCCTGGGGTGGAGAAAGAAAGAAAAGGAACCTCTCCTTCTTGGTTAAAAGGAACCGGAAATGATTTTCGGCTCGTGCTACAACCAGTTGCAAAAATGTGGATACACTTCCACGAAAAACCCGCCTTTCCTACTTCTAATCACTGCTAGTCGCACGTCTGTGGATATACACTCACCTCCCTCCTCCCCTCCATTCAGAGTTGTTCCTCCAAGTTTTGAGCATGGT